TATTTTGCAGTATTTCGAGGCGCGTCCCGAGACGCGCCGATTGAGTTTCAAGAAACTTGTTTCCCTGTTACCCTTTTCAGGGATTTTCATGACTGTTGTCAAAGTCGGCGGGAAAATTCCGCACAAACTGGACAGGATTTTACTGGAACTTAGAATTAAGGAGGTTTTCACTTGGGAAGATTTGAATTGGTAATCAGACTGTGTTTCCTTAAGCGCTAGATTATCTGGAATCCAAAAACCATGCCTTAACCAAAACATTAAAATTTGAGTACAAGAGGCCCTTGACTCAAAATTGTGCAACATTTATAGGAAAATATGTGACCTTTTGGACCTCAAAATGCTAGTTGCTGAACTTTGAAGCAAAGGTACATTTGCTTCAAATGTACTTATGTAAGAAAATGAGTCACTCATTTTCTTGTGAAAAACACAATTATAGATTGATTGTGCTTCTATGTGTCTTTGGTTCTGTATGCTGCAAGAAATCTATAAAATCACAAATTTTGCCAAACCATAGGGACAAAGAGTCAAGATATGGAAACTTTTATGGAAAGCATCAGTGTGCCGAATTTTTTCCGCCGACTTTGACGGCAGTAATGAAATCCCTGAAAAGGCAACAAAAGACAAGTACAAAATCTAATTGGCGCGTCTCGGGACACGCCTAAAAACCGTACAATAATCCCCTTGACAGAGCGGCAAGACAACAAGATTACAAACACTTAAAAACTCTTCAAAAACAATCTTCCTTGAAAACAACAAATTCTATTCTATCCTCCACAGGGGTCATACAACCCCCTTTTTCTTATCCTTGCGAAAGGGAGTATAATTTTTGCCAGCTGCTGGCCATATTTTTTCGTTGTCCTCTGGTTCCCAAAAACCATTTGTTGTCCTAGAAACGCGACATGCCTGACTCCAAGTACACTCTGGTAGCAATTCTAAAAACCAATTTATCTTTGTCTTCCTAAAAATTTGCACAGCCTTGTAACATCTTGAAAATCCAAAGAACACCCGGTTTTTGGGGAAAACAGCAATTTGAGTTGTTGTCCCTTGAACTGTTAACAGCCAGAAGTTGTATAAACACCAGCACCTGGTATTTTTGAAAACTCCAAAACCCAGCAGCTGGGAAGTATTAAAAAATCAAGACCCTGCTGCCTGCCAGAAATTATATAAGACCCTCCATTTTCCTTGTACAGACACAGTTCAATTTTTGCCATTGAAGCGTTGCGTTGCGTTGTGATCATTTGTACTCTCTGAAAATTTACTAAGTCCGCAAAATCTGTTGTGCATATTATCATTTCTGCTGTGAATATCTGTGTTCTGTATTTTTTGTCATCCATTTACTGACTTGTCCAACAAAGGCTTGCACTGTTTGGGAGAGAATCCCTGGTTGGTTTGCGCACCGGCCAATTGTTGTGTTGAATTCATTTATTCTGAACATCTGTAATCAAACCTCTGCCTTGTAATTCTAATTTTTACCTCATTCACTCAATTGTGTCTGATTGTTTATACTATCAAAACCTCAGTCATTTAAATAACTACTAAAACCTTGTCATCTTAAAATTTCCTTCAAGGTGTACGGCTGGATACGTTAGACTTCTTCATAAAAAAAACCGTACAATCAGAATATTTAAATTACAATTCCAAAAATGTTTACATCTTTTGAAAAAATGAATATATTTCTATGGAGACTATATATGTAACAAAATTGTTTTCATACATGCATTCCAATTCATGATCCAACATGTATTCCACTTCATGATCCAACATGTATTCCACTTCATGATCCAACATGTATTCCACTTCATGATCCAACATGTATTCCAATTCATGATTCAAAGCAGCCTAGTTTAGTGTGCCTTTTATTTTAATTTTTTTTTCTAAACTGTGCACATCAGTAGTATATAGGGATATGTTAGCTTTAGTTTTCGGCCTCCTTTTCAGACCAACAAGGCAAATCATGCTCGTTATTTTTTTCTGCAGCACAGATACATTATTTCCTGCTATGTTTTTCAAGCCCAAATGGCTCTATAGTGATGTATGACATATGTTATGCATAGCATAAAGTTTTTGCTCACCAGAGCTTCTCACTGGAACCCTTCTCGGTACGTTCGTGGCATAACTCCAACCCGCAATCCGCACCACGTTATTAGGGAAGGAAAAGTCGCCTTTCAGGTCCATGGGCACGGGTTTGACTGCTGGGTCAAGCAGAGGCAAAGGGAGCAGAGCCACAGTGACCCGTTGCGGAACCCCCCGGATGTTCCGGATCAAGTAGTTCCGGGGCATCTTGGCGCTTTTGATGGACACGTCCACACTGGGCCCGGAATCGAAAGCCAGAGTCAAGTACTCGGTGCTGTAGAAGGACTTGAGCACTCGGGCGGCTCTTTCGTCCACGCAATTGGCCACTGTCAGAACATGCCTATATATTTAGACACACAGGGGTAGAAAAATGGAAAGGAATATAGTGGGATGACTTTGATGACATGTGCTGGACATAGCCAATATTTGAGGGAAATTTGACTTCCGGACGCTTTTTGAGCTGGAAAAAAATGTCCCTAGCAATTATTTGTGGAGATGTCTCGTCGAGATGCAGTCATGTGACAGGAAAAATTTCGAGGGCAATGAAGAAATACTTTTAAAATTATTGCATCTCTTGATCAAGTTGAGTCACTGTCATCATGGATAATTTTTTATTTGTGAGCGTATTACTCTCAGTTGATTTTCAAAAGTCTCAAAACAGTGATTAATTTCGTACTTCTTTTCATATTATTATGTAGGATTTTTTTAAACTGTGCACATTACAGCAATCTGTTCGCGTGTTTTTTTTTTCTTTCTTTTTGAACTCCTTATTTTCATGCCAAAAGAGCAGGTTTTGCGTAAATAGCTTTTCTCTGCACAGTTATTTTCTGTGTATTAAAGTACCGTAAACGAGTTTCCGTGACATTTTAAGAGGAATTTTTCGAATATTTTGCTGATGGAGATGAGAATTTAGTAAAAGGTTTCCCAAGGATGTCTGTGGGAATATGTGATCCAACAAATGGATGTTTTGACATTATTATGAATGGCTTTTCATTATGAATGGAATATGAATGGCTTTTCATTATGAATGAAATATGAATGGCTTTTCAATTTTTTTTTAAATTTACTGCAATTTTCATAAATATGTTTCAATTTTACGTGGGGGTGTAGAACTGAAGTAATTTGAAATGTGAAGAGCGTTTGAATGATCTTAAAATCTGAGTATTTCTGTTTATGACTGTGGATGGTGCAGACATGGGTTCAATGCTGTTTCTTTGGATTTTTCGTAATTCTATGCTTTGAAAACACCTACTGATGATGAAATCATTTCAGCCATATATAGAAGTATTCTCTACGTGAATAATTTTCCGTATATTTAAAGGTTGATGGGCTTACTGATTATTACCTGGAAAGCTCGTCTCTCTTAATAGAAAAATTGAACTTCAAATGTATCTGGTTCTGATTATTACAATCAATACATCGTTCGTTCGTACAGTACAGTAAATGGTATCCTTTATTATACGTACTATTGCTGGTGCTGATTTTTAAGCTCGACCTTGAGCTAGAATAGTCGGCATTTTTATTGCTTTCTTTCGTATAATTAAGGCCACAGTATCTGTACAGTACAGTAAATGGTATCCTTTATTATACGTACTATTGCTGGTGCTGATTTTTAAGCTCGACCTTGAGCTAGAATAGTCGGCATTTTTATTGCTCTCTTTCGTATAATTAAGGCCACAGTATCAATTGGAATCAATTCTGGTTCGGATAAGCAACTATTCGGAATATTTAATACCTCGTAACTTCGTTATATCCGTAAATGGGTTCAAGAATGTGTTGCTTTTCCTGCTTTCTATCCAAGTTCGTTTTTAAACGCACAATAATCGTCTCATCGCATTATATGAATAAATTCCAGGATATTTTGAAGTCGCAGTGCTTCCTGATTCACAAGGTATTTTTGCTTGTTCAGGAACATTAATGTGAATTTATTTGCTTTTTATTAGTACCATGCAGTACTTGGTTACTTTCATCCAATACACTGATGTTAGTACTGATTATTATGGATTGCCTTGAGTTTGAGTATTTGTCGTTTTATTGTTATTTACTTGAGTATAATTACAAGTAAGGTCGCTAATTGAGATAGATTGTTTACGTACAGGGTGGACCAAAAAAAGAAGTGGACCGATTTTTGAGTTAGAAAAGCTTAATTCTATCTAGCTTAATTCTAAGCTTAATTCCGATTTTTGAGTTAGTATAGCAAATCCAGCTGCTGAAGCAATGAAAAAAACTACATGAAAGCTTATTCAATTACCTTAAAAATTGTAAGTGGTTTTATGGTCCCAAATGCTACGGAATAGTCACAAGAGCCATTTGAATGAAAACTTTAAAAAAATTGTCAGCTTATAGGGCTAGAATAAGCTGCCTGAAAACTTTTTTTTTTTAAATTTATTGTCATTCAAATGGTTCTCGTGACCATTCCGAGGTACTTTAGGACCATAAAACTACATATTATTTGATAGGTGCATTTCAACTAAAATATACAGGTTGGCCGGTGATTTTATTTAGTTGTTCTTTTATTTCCTCAGGTGACCTTAGACACGTTACAATCCAGTTGACCTCACGGTGAGTTGGATACATCATAGCAAGGTCCCAGTTTCCTTCTAAGGTAGTCCGACTCGTTAGTGAAAGCGTTTGGGACTTGATATGCTTCTAAAAATGTAACAAGTAAGGAAATGAAGAAATGATCCTATTATCTTGATTTTTCGAGTCGTCGCGTCAGTATCCCGAAGAAACTCGGCAATCAACGTGAGGAAATCAATGTTAGAGGACTATTTGCGTCCTCGACAATATAAAGTAGTATTATATTGCTTTTGAATTGACGTCGCGCCTTGAGAAATTACATTTTTTTCGAAGTGGAAAATGCTCATGTTACACCAAATATTCTCCTCTTTCAAAGAGATTTTTGCCACTTTTAATTTTGCCTCGTAGAATAAACTATTGAGACCAGCCTTTTGTTGGAAAGCATCTTCTTTCAATCACCGGAATTGCTAGAAAAATCGAACGTGTTCATCGTTATATTGTCGAAGCTTTGATTTCCAAGTATTTGTTATCGAAAACTGGGGCGATTGAATGAGAAAAAAAACCTTATTGGTAGGCTGACCATCTCACAAGTAAAAAACAACTCCATGCAAAAATTTGTATCTAATTTTATAACACCTTCTAATATATTTATATACAGTATTGTATATAGTTTCATTTCACGGGAAGGAGTTTATAAGAGCTATAATTTTTCTCAATAATTGTACAGTACAGTATAATAAATGACTTGAAATTATTCATTAGAATACTGACTTCACAAGGATTTATAATGAACGAATTTCGGTTGCATGAGAACCTTAGGATTTAGAATTTTCCTCGAAAAAGAAAGATTCTCAAAAGTGGAGCCATTAATTTTGGCCTAGACAAAATTAATCTTTGCATTCGAACAATTTAATTCTGCAATAGTTTCATTTCTGAAGCATTTTAAATTTGATTGAATCCCTAATAGGAGAAGCGTATTCTGAAACTCGGAAATTTTCTCGAGCCATCTAATAAATAAATCATGTCATATGGTTAAAAATACAGATAAAAATTATTATCGAAAAGCAATAGATTGTCTCCGTGGACAACGGCTCAATCAATCAATTTCGTCGCATTGAATATTGACGAGACTTGATGATGTCTATATATGATACCCACCCAGATTTGAGCCAGCAATAATAACGCGCGAAGGAGGCAGTATAAAATTTGTTGATCCTATTTCAAACTATAGGAAGCAATCGCGAAGAGTTTGGAAAGGTTATCAGTTCCCAAATTAATGTGTACCGTACCTCGGACTGATGACTGATCCCATGCACAAAATGTACTGCACACCCTGCGGCTCCACACGAACCATAAACTCAGTCTCGTTGTAAACGGCTTCGGGTGGGATGTAAGTTGCGAGTTCCGGCATCGTCGTAGTGACATCCCCATCGACCCCGAGCGACATCTCTGTGGCGTTCATGGAACCGTTGACTGATGGTGCGGTCGTGGTTGCTTGCGGCGGCCATTCGTAGTNTTTTCCGTATATTTAAAGGTTGATGGGCTTACTGATTATTACCTGGAAAGCTCGTCTCTTTTAATAGAAAAATTGAACTTCAAATGTATCTGGTTCTGATCATTACAATCAATACATCGTTCGTTCGTACAGTACAGTAATCGGTAGCCTTTTTTATGCGTACTATTGCTGGTGCTGATTTTTAAGCTCGACCTTGAGCTAGAATAGTCGGCATTTTTATTGCTTTCTTTCGTATAATTAAGGCCACAGTATCTATTGGAATCAATTCTGGTTCGCATAAGCAACTATTCGGAATATTTAATACCTCGTAACTTCGCTATATCCGTAAATGGGTTCAATAATGTGTTGCTTTTCCTGCTTTCTATCCAAGTTCGTTTTTAAACGCACAATAATCGTCTCATCGCATTATATGAATAAATTCCAGGATATTTTGAAGTCGCAGTGCTTCCTGATTAACAAGGTATTTTTGCTTGTTCAGGAACATTAATGTGAATTTATTTGCTTTTTATTAGTACCATGCAGTACTTGGTTACTTTCATCCAATAAACTGATGATAGTACTGATTACTACGGATTGCCTTGAGTTTGAGTATTTGTCGTTTTATTGTTATTTACTTGAGTATAATTACGAGTAAGGTCGCTAATTGAGATAGATTGTTTACGTACAGGGTGGATCAAAAAAATGTGGACCGATTTTTGAGTTTAAAAAAAGCTTTGTACAGTATAGCAAATCCAGCCTCAGCAATGAAAAAAATAACTACATGAAAGCTTATTCGATTACCTAACAAATTGTAAGTGGTTTTATGGTCCCAAATGCTACGGAATAGTCACAAGAGCCATTTGAATGAAAAATTTAAAAAATTGTCAGCTTATAGTGGGATGACTTTGTCAGAAGCTGCCTGACAACTTTTTTTTTTGAAATTCATTGTCATTCAAATGGTTCTTGTGACCATTCCGTGGCCCTTCAGGACCATAAAACTACATCCCATTTGATAGGTGCATTGAAACTAAAATATACAGGTTGGCTGGTAATTTTATTTAGTTGTTCTTTATTTCCTCGGGTGACCTTAGACACGTTACAATCCAGTCGACCTCACGGTGAGTTGGATACATCATAGCAAGGTTCCAGTTTCCTTCTAAGGTAGTCCGACTCGTTAGTGAAAGCGTTTGGGACTTGATATGCTTCTAAAAATGTAACAAGTAAGGAAATGAAGAAATGATCCTATTATCTTGATTTTTCGAGTCGTCGCGTCAGTATCCCGAAGAAACTCGGCAATCAACGTGAGGAAATCAATGTTAGAGGACTATTTGCGTCCTCGACAATATAAAGTAGTATTTGAAGAAATGATCCTATTATCTTGATTTTTCGAGTCGTCGCGTCAGTATCCCGAAGAAACTCGGCAATCAACGTGAGGAAATCAATGTTAGAGGACTATTTGCGTCCTCGACAATATAAAGTAGTATTGCTTTTGAATTGACGTCGCGCATTGAAGAATTACATTTTTTTACGAATTGGAAAATGCTAATGATACACCAAATATTCTCCTCTTTCAAAGAGATTTTTGCCACTTTAATTTTGCCTTGCAGAATAAACTATTGAGACCAGCATTTTGTTGGATAAAGCATCTTCTTTCAATCATCTAAATTGCCAGAAAAATCGAATTTGTTCATCGTTTTATTGTCGAAGCTTTGATTTCAAAGTATTTCTTAATTATCGCAAACTATGGGGCGTTTGAGTGAAAAACCACCTCATTGATAGGTTGATCATCTTACAAGTAAAAAACGACTCCTTACACAAATTCGTGTCTCATTTTATAACACCCTCTAAAATAGGAATACTATGTATAGTTTCATTTCACGTGAAGGAGTTCATAAAAGGTATAATTTTTCGCAATAATTAAATACACTACAGTATAATAAATGACGTGACATTATTCATTTGAATACCAACTTCAAAAGCATTTAATGAACGAATTTCACCTGCATGATGAGACTCTTCGGATTTAGAATTTTCCCCGAAAAAGGAAGATTCTCAAAAATGGAACTATTAATTTTGGCCTAGTCAAAATTAATATTTGCATTCGAACAATTTAATTCTGCAATAGTTTCATTTCTGAAGCATTTAAAATTGATTGAATCCCTTATAGGAGAAGCGTATTCTGAAACGCGGAAATTTTCTCGAGCCATCTAATAAATAAATCATGTCATATGGTTGAAAATACAGATAAAAATTATTATCGAAAAGCAATAGATTGTCTCCGTGGACAACGGCTCAATCAATCAATTTCTTCGCATTGAATTGACGAGACTTGATGATGTCTATATGATACCCACCCAGATTTGAGCCAGCAATAATAACGAGCGAAGGAGGCAGTATAAAATCTAGCTGTTGATCCTATTTCAAACTATAGGAAGCAATCGCGAAGAGTTCGGAAAGGTTAGTTCCCAAATTAACGTGTACCGTACCTCGGACTGATGACTGATCCGATGCACAAAATGTACTGCACACCCTGCGGCTCCACACGAACCATAAACTCAGTCTCGTTGTAAACGGCTTCGGGTGGAATGTAAGTTGCGAGTTCCGGCATCGTCGTAGTGACATCCCCATCGACCCCGAGCGACATCTCTGTGGCGTTCATGGAACCGTTGACTGATGGTGCGGTCGTGGTTGCTTGCGGCGGCCATTCGTAGTCCGGGTAATCTTCGTAGTCGTCGGAAAACTTGCCTTTTTTCAGCATGATCAGGTACGTTCCCCAGATCTTGATGAGCCATTTGGGCAATGTGATGAGCCAGAGAGGAACGGCGACGATGCTTAGTGTGACCGCCACGGAAAGCGCCTCTTCCGCCGAAGTTTCGCCTTCTTCCAGAAATACGGATGTGAAATCTTGAAAATAACTCAGCGCCGTTTCGACGAAGCTCATTTTGAACAGCGAAATGAAATTGAAACTTGATTCTCGAAAAGAGCCAAGACCGAAATTTGAAATGAGTTTCTTGTTTTCTCTGCTGGGGATTTATATTTTTTTATGCCTGAAAAATACCACCAACAAGAACGTCCGCATGAAAAAATCACAACGCAACTAAAACTGAAGTTCGACTCACTATAAAAGAACGAACGGGTTCAAATATATCCGCGATAATTTGTCAACACGTCCGGCTTTCTCAGCATTTCCTTTCATAGGAAAAGTCACGAAATGCATAACAGCACGTTTAAGACATAGATCTCACACAAAACGTGATTTGGTCAAGATGAATTTTTGGAAAACGTAGAAAAAAATTAAAAATTAACGTTGAAAATTGGTTTTATGCTGAAAGAAATTCAGACGACTTCTTTTCTTTCGCAAAAGTTCGAGACCATGCGAGAGTTTTTTTCGCTTTTATTAAGTTACATTTTCAAAATTTAGCACTTAGAAAAATATAGTCAAAATCACGCTAGGAAAATAGTATGATGCTCATGCAAAATCATCTTTCACGATGATACGATCATAATTTGTCTGCATGTCAACATATGGATGTCATATTAAAGCAGCTTTTACTGAATTTCATGTTAGAATCGAAAGCGAAAACCCGAATTTCAAAATTCAATGCAGCCCTAAAATAAATCGACGATAATATGAATTTTTTCGCTGGGTAAAACGTGTTCCCGAAAAATCGCGGATTTTTATTCTCTTAATATTTTTTAAGAAACCCGCTTCTTTCACTGCGTGGAGGTACTACTGTAATATTTTTGAGACACGAAGTACTGACGGCAAAAATTGCGATTCAAGAGCAAGTTTCAGGAAGGCAGGCGTAGAGTATTCTTTTATTTCTTTCTTGTTCGTGAAAAAATGAACTCATCCATGCAGCTTAAATGTAAAAGTAACCCGAATAGTGATGTGAAAACATTCGAGAGGAACACTGAAAAACGCGGAAGAACTCATGGACAATTTTCTGAAAAAAAGCAACTTGTATGATTATTACGCGGTCTGCAAGAATAAATAGAAACATTTTGAGAATAACGCTTCGAGACTAAACCCTTCTATCTTTCCCATAAAATTGCCCATTAAAAAAAATGTATGCATTGAATGAACCCTAAATTCATCTCAAAAGCATCTATAGTCTTTCAATATGATCAACGGAATATTTTTAAATATTATTCAACTTGCTATTTTAGATTACGGATTACATAGATATACATTATTTCAAAACATTGGACCTTAAATGAACTATGCTCCTTTTATCAGTGTATTTTTTAGTATGATCATGTAACTAAAAATCACAGTTTCAATCTTGATCGTACCTTAAGATTACAAATTACCTTAAGGGGAATATCCAATCGCAAAATGACATAATTAAGATTAATTTCTGCAGCATTGTAAATTATCCGACTTTTATACGTATAGGTGAGGTCTCGATTCTTTAGAAAAATTTCAAACACTCGCTCTATACTGAAATCTCATTACATTATCTGCGAGACTTTCAAAACACAATTGAGCAAAGACAATCGAGACACCAGACGTTTTTATGCGCGTCGTTGGGACTAACTATTGTCTCGCTTTTTTGTCCTCGCTCGTCGTCGTCGTCGACGACGTAACCTGGAAAAATTCAAGCATGTTTAATGCGTCGAAGCGCTGTGAGCGAGAGATGATGGCGGTTCTTTCGGTTCACTTGAAATATCGGCCGAAATCTTGTTTCTCTTTCTCTCTCTCCCTGTTCATATCAAACTGTGTTTTTTTCTATGTTATTTTTCCTTCAAAAAATTTTAGCTGTTTTTTTTTTTTTGCTGCTGCGAGTTTCTTGAAGGGAGGGAGAGGGCGAAAGTTGTTGAACGCGCAAAGCTGGGTCAACGCTGGAGCTGCATAAAAAAAAAAAAAAAACTTAATGCCTCGTGCCGAAGTTTTCAGCAAAAAGTGGACCAAGGCTGTTGTTGTAACAGATAACTCGGCGTCATGAAATCAGACTTTCGAATTTTCACCGACATTGTTTTTTTTTAAGCTATATAGGGATAATATTTGCGAGAAAATTATCGCGAAATATATTACGGATAAATTGACTCACAAGCAATATTTACTTCGTCAGGCTAATTTCCCCGAGCAGCTCGAGTGACGAAAAGGTAAAATTATTTTATGCTTTTTCAAGTGCTATATTTGGCCCAGATGATATTAATTACCTTCATCTGAATATGTTTTTAAAATGTCAAAACGAGAACGAGTTTTATTTTTATTCCTTAAATCGATGCGGTAGAAATCTGTCACGGAAATATTTGTCGAAAAGTTCTTTCGTCATTCTTGCTTTCACTTTTAAAAACGCAGCGAATAAACTTACCTCTTGTTTTCTATCGCACCTAGTTACAGTGTCTAAAAGAAGGTGTTTGCTCTTCGTCTTATTTATAAAAAACTGTAGTCACTGTACGAGACGCAAGTGTTCTTAAAACTTTCGACTATCTATGCTCCATTGTTTTCTCGTGAAGCACATGAGTTGCAATTTCTCTGAATATTCGTCAGTATATTTCTGTGGTACCCATGTCTTTACTGCATATATAGGGGATGGTTCAAAGACATTATAAGAATTCTATTGAAATGAAGTTTAAATATAATCAGACTTGTGAATTAAAATATTTTAATTATAAATCCCTGTTGGATCGAAAACAAGACTTGAAGTACGCCTTTGATCATTTTTGTTTGGTATTCAATTCAATTTCAGCTTTGACTCGAATGACTTGACTTACTGATCGATTTTTCGACGAAACAAAAAGTCAGCAATGAGAAAACTCTTTCTCTTTTGAAACATTACCTTCAGATCATCGTCATCACTAATATTTTAAGTCATTTGAATTATTCATGGGTTAAAAAGACCGCCGCGGAAAATGCGAAAAGCGGCATGTAAACCTAATATCCTGGGGAGAGAACCCTGTCAGATAAAAAATCGTTATAAAAAGAAAATCTCTATGTATAGACAAGATCGTTGTAGAGCGAGTTTTGTCATTCAAAAATCAGTAAGGCATTGATCGAATATTTCTCCGTAACAATCCGGTTCATATCCATCAAATCGTTCGCCATCCAAGACTCAACATACTGTATATCACTCCATGCCGGTGATGAAAAGTTACGAGCTATATATAAGCCTATAGCTCTTGTGTTTGCATCGATAATTTTTATTTCGTTTGTTTGGAAAATATTTGCGATTTTTATTTCCAGCGATAGTGGTCCAATATTGTCGGTAACATATATCTCTCTGCTGGTGTGCTCTTCAAGGAGAGAAGTTTGTTGACCTCACGCTGCCGGCATATCGACTGCGGTTGAAGTTTGCACTGCTTCGATTCGGTTCAGAGATGCTCCTGAAAATCATCATTTCATCATACTCAAGTGGCAATGTCCACTTTCAGCCAGGATACGCCACGAAAGAATATATTTCTGTGTCATGATGATGAATATTTTTTATTTTACCGACTCGCTTTTACTTCTTCTGGCTTTTTTTTTGGCTTGGTCCCGTTTACTCCTGGGCGACCTTTTAAGACGTAAATTATTTTTACATGCGAAACTGTCACTTTTAAAATGCCTTAATATTGCAATATAAGAGAGCAAACATTGAGGCATACTTGGGTTGTAAAATTATATTTGACCATAATTTTATTTTCTCTGAAAAGTATTTATTATTACGGGTCAATAAATACAATTACAGCGAACACTGTTGTAACGGATTTTTAATTTTGGCGATTTTTTTTACTTGGGTTGTAAAATTATATTTGACCATAATTTTATTTTCTCTGAAAAGTATTTATTATTACGGGTCAATAAATACAATTACAGCGAACACTGTTGTAACGGATTTTTAATTTTGGCGATTTTTTTCCAGTTCGCAGCCTGCATAATGGGCACGATGCTAAATAAATTGCAATGTCGCATTTAAAAATGTTTTCACTAATTCAGTATACGAAAAACATAGTTTTTTTTTTACTTTTCTGCCGTTCGTTTTATTATATTTATGGAAATAATCAATTTCATTTTTGCTATATAGAACATCGCTCTACTTCTGCTGTGAGAAATAACTAAATTCTCCTGGAAATTTTTATGAAAATTTTGAGTATACTGATTTGTACAGGATGTTTCACGTTTCAATAAATTGATTAATCTCTACAATATCAGAAAAATAGTTTCACGATTTTTGTAAATCGCCAAGAAAAATTGTTCGGATATTCTAAATTCTTTACTTTGTGGTGCATTATTTTATTCTTTGAAGGAATAATAGCTATTTTAGTATTGAGACTGTTTGTCGATTGACATTTTTTGCTTCATTCAAATGGTTAAACGAAAAGGGTAAAACTGTAGCTCAGTTAAAGTACATGCCAAATACCGTTCTAACAAATGCCATTATGATTAATTTTTGTCATAACGAATTGTTTCCAGGCCCCTGCCAAAACCTCTTAGACACAATTAATGTTAAATTTATATATGCATGTATAATTCATCGTTCAAATGAAATCAGTAAAGGGAAAACATTACTGCAATCAGAATTTTTCAGCAATTTTCCTCGTGCTTGTGAATATCGACAATTCTTTATTTTACTGGAGAAACTTTCCTAATGTACTTCCGCTTCAAGGAGCGCGTTCTTCGGCTGGAAAATTTTTGTAGATTTGTTCAGGTTTGGTGATCGCACAGAAAAAAAAAGTTTTATGTACAGTTTGATGTACAGTATTTCCAGAAAAAAATACTTGAACGGTTTTACATAAGAATCTCAATAATGTGTAACGGCTTCAAGTAAAAAAAAACTTTCGGCTATCCATCAAAGTTTATTTTACAGAAAAAATACATGCATACTAAAAATAATACCGATACAATCGAAATATTTCTTACTTCAAAAATCTTTCAGAGAAAATATTTTAATCCAAATTTTGTGAGAATACGGCAAGTTTGTAGGATAAATGTATCGGTATCTTTTACTTTAAAAAACGAAATCTTGGCCGCAAAAAAAAAACCAACATTATTATTAGCTATAAACTGTACATTATCTCGAAGTCGTATTTCCGGAATGGTATAAGTAACTTTACCACCATCAGCACTGCAAATGAAGAAATTTCGTGGAGATTATTTTCAATCGCGCTCTCATTTTATTTTTTTGCATGTTTCCAAGGGATCTTTCTGCTTTCAGTCGCATGATGATGCAGTGTGTGTGTGTGTACTTTTTTTTCTTTTCAGATAGTATAAGTGGAGTGTTTTTCGCCCCTTAATAGACGACGAATGCAGGCAAAGCAAGCAAGCAAGCGAAGCAAACGAAGAAAGGGAAGCGCAAAAGAAAAGGAGCAATAACATGAAAAAATAAATATATATCTAAGAAATAAAAAAAAATAAAAAATTGACGAAAAAGAAAACTCTTGGCAGATATTTCTTATAATCTTATATTCGCCGTGGTTTGCTCGCTTCATGGACCCGTGAGCTCCTGATTATTGCGTGTCCTGATGTTGGCGAGAACTGTTGTGCATAGCGGTGCTGCTGTTGGTGCTGGTGAAAAAAAAAAAAAAAAAGGGACCTGTGCTTGTTGTTTTCCTTCCTAGCAGCAGCTAAGGAACACTGCTGGTGCCTGCTGATATAGTACCTTTTTTCTTTTTGATACTTATTTTTTTCCGTGCTATTGTGTAGAGTACCCCTCCGTTTTTCGGCAAGAAAACAGGATTCGGACAGAGTGTTGCTGTATTTACCCTATACTGTACATGCTTGTTCCGCGTTGAGAGAGAATGTGTATGGTCGACAGAAGTGAGAAGAAATCATCGGTGGTTGCTTTTTTATTCGGTGCAAAATGTTGAATGAATTATGCAGTGTGCTTGCATTTTTTTCTTCTTCGTGCCTACATGAATACACCGAAGCAAAGTAAGAATAATTACATGAAAATAAAGAGAAAACGAAAATAAATTTCACGACTCTCTCTATATATATACATAACGATGCGTATTCTCTGTATGACGATTTTCCCCATCAGTCCCATATATGGTTCTCTCCCAGAAATAAAAGGAGTTTTCTACAGCGAAATTCTCTCTACACCGAATTTTTTTCTAGTCTCGTGCGTTTTGTTGTATGATAGAGATGAGAGTCCGCCTCAGATTATTTGTTGAGATATAAAAAAAGAGTAGAAGCAATCTTCTACAAGTGGATTCTCTCTAAAATACGAAGCTTTTTGAAATTAGACCATTCACGTATTTTTTAATGGATACAGATTGATTAATTTTTCCAGCAATAGCAAGGGTCTGAAGTTTTCGGGTATTGAAAAAAAGATTGAATGGTGGCACACGCAATAATAACTTCGACTGCTCAAGAAACAGCAGTATTTGGAAAGGATTTTATAGATTATGTAGTAGACATGGAAACAGTAAAAAGTTTGCAGTTTTTAGCTATAAAAACAAAGAGAAAATCAAATTAAATATGGCCATTTGTTCAATATCCCGCAGCTCCTGGGAACCTCAGTAATTTTTTGATGAGATTTTCACTGAATTTTCAAAGCCTCGTCTGAAAAATATTGAGAACAGCAACTTTGAAATCAGACAGTTTGTACTGGCGGAATTATTTACGAAATAAAGAAAAAGTTATATAAATTATTATTCGTTGGTGGTTGGTATTTTATTGATGACGTTGGAATTTTTCAAGTGATGGGTGCGCCCGATAAGGAATTTTTCGGATATAAAAATTTATGAATTTTTCCGTCAAAAATAAACTAAAATGATTACCGGTATATCATATTTCACGCATTTTTATTTTTTTTAAATAATGAAATCTCATTTAAACAATTCGAGATATCGGCGTCCTGTTGGTGCTGGAGGTGCGTTTTTTGTCGACTTTGTTTGCCAAGTTTTTGCTAGCGGGAAATCGGAAGCTTGTGTGACCATATATTCGAGTGTCGGGCTCTGTTTTCTTTTGTTTAGTTCCAAGTGTCAACATTTATGCACGATAGAATCGCAGGTGGAACTTGAGATATGCTAAAAATCGGCGGCATTCCTTACGTAAACAGCGTTTTATGCTATAATTTTGGCTGACAAAAAGCTTGGTGAATCTCCTCTAGGGAAATTTGGTGAAAACACGCATAAGAACGATTGAGGCCCTCATATATGAACAAACATTTCTTGATGCATATGCATAATTCTCGGAAAAATTAATCATGCAAAAACCCTCGTCCCATATAAGCATTTTTACGTTGAAAAAAAAAATGTCCTGACTTTTTCCAGTCTCAATATTAGCAGCTTTTGTGCGTTAAATATTTTAGGGACACATTTAAAGGCAACTTAACTGATAAAATGTAGGCTTTGTTATGTTTATTAAGACATTCTGTTTGGTTATCAGTCTATCTTTTGATCAAGGAATCCTCCAATAAAATGTGAAAATTGATGACTGAAGATCCAAAGATACTGGACTGTAAATGAATTTTTTGTGCATTTCTTTTTTATTTCATTATTATTGTCATTGTCCACAGCAACAAAAAATGCACTATTCCTGTTTATTTTTGTGAAAAGGCCAGGAAAAAAATTTCATACAATGAATCAATTGTTGGAATAAATCAGTGATCAAGGATAACAAAAGAACATTAAAAATACAAGCAATCAGCATTTTGAAGGCCAAGAACACATATTCAAGGTTTTTCCTTGAATATACGTTCCTGCATGGCTTTCAATCATTTGTATTAACAGTTTCAGCAGAGTTGAATAGATTGAATAGATGAATAAAGAATAATAAGCACAAACAATACACGAAGCAGATTTGAATAACACATTTTGATAAAACACAGGAGTAACACAGATTTGGGCAAACAAATCATTTAAAAGGATTAAGAAGATAATTTTCCAAGTATTCAGGACAGACTAACTCCTAAATTCGAATTTTATTTTGCTTTATTAATTCTGCATCATCAGCTGATGCAAGAGGAAACCTTCATCAGTTTCCTCTCTCGTTTTCTGCTCAACAAGGTCCACATCATTTTGAAGTAATCTGTAGATTATATAGGCAATTAAGAATATGATGTCCATTCCAATGTCCGCAACTATAATATGTGCGAGTTTCCAAAATACCGCGCTCGAATAATGAACTACTGTATATACACGAACGAACTGGACACATTTTTCGCCGATAAAGTGTGACGTTATGTCTGTTCACATCATATTTAAATAAAATCAATTTAATTCTTGCTCGTGAATACCTGCTTCTGTTTGAATTTTCATTGGAAGGGGCTGAGAAATTAATTTGTTCATTTCCCTTTGCTCCTTCGCCGTTAATCTTGGGCGTTGACGCGTAGTTTCTGTCACGCGACGAAACGATTAACTTATACAAGAAGACGAAGTTCAGTTCATATTTGATTGTAAAAATTATCAATGACGATTTTTTGAAAGAAATAAAAATCCTTTAATATCCAGTATTATTGTGATACCGAAGGTTATTTGAAAATTTACGAGTCGGAACGAGTCGTCGGAATCAGCCTCTTTTTTTCTCGGTTGATCTTCCTGCATTCGATTTTTTATACATTTATTTCAGAGATCTTCGAAAAATTGTCCCTAAGTAAAAATTTTCTGCGCGAGTTATGGATCAGTGTGCGGAAAACGTCGCATGCTTCGGGTTGAAGTGATTGGCCAATATTTAATCCGATCAAGCTTTAGGGATTATTGGAATATATTTGGTGAGTTATTAATTCGTTATGATGGACTGATTATTTTTTAAACTACATTACTCTGTAAGAACAAGCGCAGAATGCTTATTTTTATTACATGCACACTGAAAAAAAGGATATTAAATATGGTTCCTGTTAATTCAATATATTATGGACCCCGATTTAATACCAGAGTATGCCCCAAACAAGAAGAGTGTGGAATATTTTTAAAAGACAATGCAACTGCATCACCATGAATTAGTGGTTATGATTTGGAATTATCCCATGATATCCATTGGATTTTCAAGCAAGGAAAGTGTCTCAGACTGCGAATGCCCGGAACAACGAAGTTCGCATATGGATCACATAATGACACATTAACTTTCCGCTCTTCCGCAGAAATAACTTTGGTGCAAAATTTATTTTCCACTTTCACAGTAAAGACAATAAGGACTTGACTAGACAAGAAGGTGTGATAATCACTCTTCGACTGAAATAAAATGGTTGAAATTAAGAAAATAGAGTTGACAAAATTCTCTGCAAGAAGAAAATTGTCCCGAAAATATTTTCGCGGATATTTTTTTATTTCAGTATTCCAAGAAATCAAACGAAAGTCTTTAGGATAAAAAACTTTACTTGAATTCAATTTCACAGACCGAATTTAATTCCTATTTTATCTATGTAATGTCCAAATGTTTATCTGCGAAACTTTCAATTGGAATATGTGGCACGATTATTAATTTGTGAATTTTTTAGTACTGCATTATACTAAAGAGGGAAAATCTCCAAATCTTGGCTAAAACTGCGTTTCTCCTTGGGCTTATGACTCGTATCTAATATTGCTTTTCTGGCTTTTTGAATTATTGAGTGACAAAAGAAACCAACCAGCAGCCTCCATGTTCCAAAAAATTAATATATTGGCCATGGGAAAATTCTTCTGATTTGACCTTTCTGATGCCTTCAATCTGTAAATACAATTACTGTAATATGGCCCAAGATTAAGGTTGCTTAATTTTTTTTAAACCTTACAAAATCCATGAAAAATTATTAAAATTAATTAGATAGCATTTGTCGGAATGGTTTTCTTACATGATATTTATTAAGTTCGTCTTCCGGTGATCAAATAGGTTCTCTTATACAGTGTCCTTACTTTTTTTTTTTAGCCAACTTCCCCCGAATCTTTTTGTTTCCACAGGAAATTCGAAGCAGTGGGTGAATCACAGGGCGTATTTTCCCCTTGATACAACTCACACATGGATTTAATGAGGCGCGTGACAGCGACGCTCGGATTGCTTGTTTTGCTTGCCAATTCGATTCGAGCCAGACCACAACCTCATACTTATCCTGGGGCCTGGTTCTGGCCTCGTCGTGGTTCTCATTACACCTTTAATCCCCCTCATCATCATCATCATCATCATCATCACAATCAGCACCAGCACCGCACGGCTCTACCACCTTCTGGAGCTAGCTCTTTGATCCTCATGAGACCTCCTAGACAGAATGAGGACATGGAGACCCCGGCTCCGATCGGGATGGACGATGAACGCAGGTTACTTCAAACTATTCAAAGTTAATTTATTTCAACAGATGATATGTGCCAAAATATAGTACAGGTGGCGCCACGTTCACCAGACGCTTAGCATAGTTGATTTTCTCCACATCATTAGATAGCAGATAAGTCTGATTTTGTAAACGAGTGGCAATTGCAGAAAACCCTATATGTGGGTCCAAGAAAAAATCGTCCCACATATAGGGTTTTCTCCCCATGTTTTTAGTACATGACAGTGTTCCTCAGCTTTTTTGAGACCCCAGACCAGCAAATCTCCCCAAAAAATTTCTAGACTGGTAAATTTGTCTCATTTTTTCTGTGGACCAGCAAAAATGCATCCATTTTTTGCATTCTCAAAATAGTTTCTTTGAAAGAGTTCATGGCAGACATCTGAAAATTTTCTGCTTTTTATAAAAAAAAATTTAAACACCAATTAAGCAGCTACAGTATACAGGGAATGTCTTCCAAAAATTACAAAGGTGGGCTTGAAGAAAGGTTTGTCAGGATGAAAAAATTTAAATTAATTGTTTCAGCATGCAAACATTTGTCTGGAGTGTTTGCTGGGAGAAATGACAATTTTTATTTGTTTCATCAGATAATTTCCACTCTGCAATTCTCTTTGAAAAATTTTGAGTGAGAACAAACTTTTGATAAATTCATAAGGCTGCAGAAAATTTCCCACAGACTGGCAAAAATCTTCTGCGGAATGGCGCCAGTCCACAGACCACAGGGTATTTGGTAACACTGATATTTGGGGTCTCAGCTGCGACGCAATTATTATTTCTACAGCGGATTTTTTCCTGGTCTTTAGAATTTCTTCGTAGAGAAACAGTCCACGTCATCCTTCACTAATCTTTTTTCTTCCGTCCTCAACAGCCGGTTTGGGGCATGGGGCCCCAGGTTCGTGCCAGTGCCCCGCCAAAGCTCCAATACCTGGTCCACTCGTTGGGTCACATCTTCTTATCCTGCCGTCGCAGCAACATCTCCGGTGCAACTCCATCAGGCACCCCAACACCCAACCAACCCACATCAGCACCCGCACCCGCACCACTACCCACAACCCCACCGATATTACCAGCACAGGCAACACTACCCACGGAAGCAGCAACACCAGCAGCACCAATCGCTCCATCATCCTCTCAGTTATTCCTACACGGCATTCGGACCCCCGGGGACTTACGCACAAGTGTGGAGTCACGCGGGTGGAAGTGGGTGTCGCACTTGGGAGCATCAAGTGTCGACCATGTCGCCATCATCGATGACGTCGTCGTCATCGTGGTCATCATCGATTGGTGCTGGACCGAAGCAGTCGTCGTCGACAGTGATGATGGCATCTGGTGTCAGGATTCCTGAGGCTGCTGCTCCTGCTGCTGGAGAGCCGATGTTCAAGTTCACGCATCCCAGCAAAGTGCTGGAAAACGCGGCGTTTGGACCCTTGTACACGCTTGAACAGGAGATTGGGAATCCCTCACGAATTTTTGGAAGTAATGCGGAGATTATTTCTACGGCAGCAGGTAAATACAGTGAACTCCCAGATGTTGACATAATTGGTGCATCAAGAGTGTCCCTAAGTTGAATTGTCCCTAAGTTGAGTCTTGTTTTCCCATAGAAGATTTACATTATATAATTTTTATTTAGTGTTTTATAAAATAAATATTCTTCAGAATTTCATGAAAAAGAATTTGTGTTAGCCACTTGAAATTGATTCAGTGAATATCTTTTCAAACCAATAAGAACATTTGGAGCATTGAATAGTACACCACTGAACAGTTCATTGAAATGGTGGCATCTGTAAAAATAACATCCAAGTCACAAAGAGAGAAGGAAGTCCCTCTGTGCTATAGGTAATGTTTTTAAATTAGCTTATTAGATGGGAAACTGATGGGAAAAGTACCAAGGAATTTTTTTTGCATAGATCTCAGGGTTGGAAATATCTGTTTCTTGCAATTAAGCCTAATAAAAGTCAATTTTCCCAAGATTTATTGACAATTGTTCATACCATGTCCTCATGTTGAATCAGAGTCCATATGTTGGGCCTTCTTATGATTTTTTTTTTTGAAAAATAAATGTCCCTATGTCAAATTGTCCCCATGTTGAGGTGTCCGCAAGTGGGGATCTCACTGTACTGTTTTCTTCATATTTCATCAAAAATAGCAACAAATTCTCAAGTTTAAATTAAAAACCATTTGATGAATCCAAGAGGTAAGGAATTTTTATGTACAGATGCATCAATCTCATATATAGTAAAAACATCTTTGACTACTGCAAATATCCTGTAGTAGAACAACCTTTTGTAGAGGGATTTTGCATGAGAACAAAACATTGTAGCGTAATTGCGTTTATATATATGAATCATAATTTTTCATAGAGTCTTCAAGAAATAATGAACAAATTGTACAAAAAACATGCAAGGGGTTACACGGTTCCGCGCGGATCAGCTTGTTGCTGCTGTTCTGGAAGAGCTTAAAAATTTTGCAACTGAACATTTCAAGGCCTGTTTCAACACATGGATCAAAAGGGCTGAGAAGTATGTACAAATTGGTAGTGATCACATTAAGATGGTGTCAGCCCAGCCTCTTTGCATCTTGAAACTGAGCATAAGTAAAAATGTAAAAATGTTCTTTAAAACATCACTGGTTTTCATATAATTCTAAGTCCGCGCGGAAACGTGTAACCCCTCTTATGGTGCTTGAATACACAATATATTTTTTTCTGAGGCAACACTGTACTGCTTTCAAACAAGAAATGTAAGGCCTTCTTGTTCCTTTAGAAATTATTTTAACCCTTCAATGCTATTTTATTAGAGAAATGTTAATTTTATCTAGTTTTTTAAACATCTTGAAAGAACAAGGAACCGATAATTGCACCGGAAATATACTGATGTTGTTTCGTCACAAGCTCAAAAAAAAAGTTATGACCTTTGTTTATTGTTCTTTCGTATTCTTCGTCCCCAGGATGATGACCAATAACCTCCTTTCAAGGCAGAGAGGCTTGAGGGGCAGGGAAGTCTTTGACTTATTCAGGTTTAGATTAAACTGTTCAAAAGAAATTCAGGTAAAGACTAACAGAAATTAAGTTTAGGGATATTTTAGACTCATGGAGGTTTCAGTTGGCAAAGTCCAAATGTAGTTACAGAGGAGACTAATTTATAAATGTTCTACCAAGTATTTAAATAATGAAATACACAGAAGTGCTTATGTTTGGCAGTTTACTGGGTGACAGAATTTCAATTTTTGCATTCAAGTGCAATGCTGATTTTTTTTTGTGCACATGAAGTGCATATCTGTGAAAGTTGTTGTAACCGAATTTGAGTTTGTTCATTTTTGCTGATCAGCAAACATTTGTTAATCAAAACGTTGTCAAGTTGTTTGCACATTATGCATTGATTATGCAGGTGCCATGTCACTGGGAGTCGCAGCAAATCCAAATCAAGCCAATTTTGGCAGCAAGTCCGAGGTGGAAGAAAGGCTTATGCAGTCCACACCAGGAACCGTCCTAGTCTTGAATGAACCGACAACCCCGAAGCCTACGA